AATATCGAAAAATTGAAAATCCTGAAACTCAATTGTTGAAAAATTGGTAAATCTATACATCGAAAAATTGAAAAATGAAGAAAAATTGAATATTTACAAAATCGTAAAAAAATTGAAGAATCGGAAACTGAAAAATTCTAAAACTGAAACATCGAAAAATTGAAATAATACATGGAAAAGTCGAAAAATCGAAAATTAAAAAAAAAAAGAAAAAATTAAAAAATCAAAAACCTGGAAAATTGACAAATTGAAAATTGAAAAATTGAGATAACGACAAGTCGAGTGAAGAAAAGGGAAAAGCAAAAAATCAAAAAAATTAGAAATCGAGAAATATCGAAAATCTGATAAATCCCAAAACTTAAAGTCGAAAAATAATAAAAAAAAACCTAAAAAATCCATAATTTGAAGAATTGAAAAACCAAAAAATCGAGAAATCGAAAATTTGAAAAATCGAAAAATTGAGGATACGAAAGTTGAAAAGGCAGATTAACTATTCTCATTAAAACGTTTGCAGAATCTCAAAGCAGCCGTTTTTGCAATTTCCAAGTTAAATTGTCGTGTTATACAATTTTGTTTTATTCCAAAAAATTTGTCTGCGGGCAAAAACTCAAAGCGCATCCATTGGCCATAAATACAGGAGTATGTTACCTTATAAAATTTAAGTAGCATTTGCTATTCTAAAATTTGGAGATGGCGTCATTTCACTGTTGGTGGAAATGATCAGACAAATTTTGGTTAGCGTTTTACCATCTACATACATGATATTCCTAACATACTCGTCCGGTCCGGGAATTTCGGATATTATCTGCATATTATAATTGAAACATATGGCGGACAAGACAGACAAACACACGGAATTGTTATTTTTTCGTACTCTTGTGGGGCATGAAATGTCGAGAAAACACAAAAGTAGTACTTTCTTAGCTTATAAGGCGTCTGAAAGTACGTGGATTTATTATTGACAAGCCTAACAGCACTTCGGAGCAGTAAACTTTACGGTAAAATATGTTTGAAGTTCCACAGGCCGGTAGCTTTTCACCTTTATGAGGTCACATGTCTCTGCATTTATCTATTATATGACACTGTGTTTCGTCATTTATAAGACTTTACGACATGGCAATAAACCTTTACACGGTAGATTTTTATCAAACTACCATGACGCGAAAACTGTAAAACAATCAACAAAGTCAAGCTAAAATTTTCTGCGGTTCTAAAAATTTGATATCCATTGTAGAAACTAATGAGTAATGAGAAATCTTAACGAGCTGCTACATCCTAATAGGAAAGAGAATACAAATCTCCCGTTTCATCTGCATGCCTTTCAGATCTTTACGTGTTGAAACACTACACCAATAATAATAGTGATAATTACACTGTAATTAGAACGAACAAAGTCCATTACGACGAATCCACTGGTTTGATGAATCCCTTCGTGATTGTTCTATTACTCCAGGCACTAATTTCCTCCGCCTTTGTCCCAGCGGTGCGCCTCATCCAAAGTAAACCCATCAAAGAACAACCAACTTCAATATTCATTCCATCGAGCATAAATAAACCCATCAAAACCGCCCATAAAGACACGCAACTGTAAATCCGTCGTTCCATGTCATTACTCCACACGTCACCATCGGCCGCGTCTAGCCCGCATCCGAGCTTCAAAATTCAACCATAAAAATTTACTAAGTTTTTGTGCACTGTTTCAACACAAGAATTGCAATTGCAGGCAAAAACAGCGGCTTCTTAGTTTCTACTCGAAGCAGGTTAGATCTGACATTGCTATACACTTCGCCGAATTTCCATATTCAAACCCTTGGTCTTGGCCACAAAAATATGTTATTTACTCAAGTTTTCTGACCGAAGTAGCTCACCCTGCGGATCAATAAAATTGCCCACGAGTAGGGGATTGAATAGGGGAACGGTAAGCGACGTACCCTTCACTTTCAGAAGTAATTTTGGTAACTTTTCTGACAGGAAATATTAGGTGTCATCGGAATTGTATACACCATTAGTGCCACACTTAATTCTGAAGTTCTTTCTAATCTGTTTTTTTATTTTCTTTTATGGATTAAGGAGGGTTTCGTTTAAGCTTAGGGCGACGTTGAGCGCTTGACATTGGGATTTTACAAACGTAAATATAATTAAGGGTTTTATCGCATAAGGTTAATCAGCGCCCTCTGTTGAGTGGCGGTAGAAACAACACTCGGAAATTTGTGAAATTATAGGTCTGCCGAGTACGAATTTGGGCAGTGTTTATTATCGAACGGTTTAGATAGTGCACGATTTGTTTTTCTACGATTTTGCTGTGTATTTTTTTAACCTATTAACAGTTAACGCAATGAAAATTCATTTCCGTATTCTTTTGAAAAATTAAAATTAAACGTTAAAATTATTCGACGTATTTTGCATTAATGATTTTAATAAAGACACAAATATTTTTCATTTTAAACATATTTTAAGTTTCATCTTGTGAGAAGAAGTCTACACATATTAAAACAAAAAGGCAAAATGAAAGCCCGCCCACCCGCCCTATCGCTATTGTGATGATTTTTTTTATTCGCCGTGAACCAAGAGGGCGGAGCTTAACTGCAAAATACTTTTTTCTTTACAAGAAATCACAAACATGTTTTTGAGATTCGTGTTGTTCAAAGAATGCTATGTATATTAAGAAAAAAAGACACTAAATAAACCCCGCCCACCCACCCCATCTCAATTGTGATGATTTTTTTTATTCTTAGAAACTTAAAACACGTTTAAAATGCTAAATTTTGTTAGGAAATATGGATTTTGCAATTAGGCTCCGCCCCTTGGTCTGCCAACGAATGAAAACTTCATTACTATTTAGATGAGGGCAGGTATGGGTGGGACTTACTCTGTGGTTTTAATTTTTTCTTAATATACATAGTATCCTTTGAACAACAGGATGCTCAAAAACATGTTTGTAATTTCTTGGCTAACGACGAATAAAAAAAAATCATCACAATTGGGATAGGGCGGGTGGGCGGGGCTTATATTTTGCCGTTTTTCTTAATATACGTAGTCGTCTTTTCAGAACAAGAAAATTACATGTTTAAAATGGTAAATTCTTCATGACAAATATGCAATTAAGCCCCGCCCCTCGATCTGATAACGAATGAAAAATTTATCACAATTGAGAATTGAGATCGGGGCGGGTATAGGTGGGGTTTGGCTTTTTTTTTTCTTAATATACATAGTATTCTTTGAACAATACGATACTCAAAAACATGTTTTTCATTTTTCACAGAGAAATTGCAGTTAAGCTTCGCCTTCTTGGCTAACGACGAATAAAAAAAAATCATCACAATTGAGATAGGGTGGGTGGGCGGGGCTTATATTTTGCCGGTTTTCTTAATATACGTAGTCGTCTTTTCAGAACAAGAAACTTACAACATGTTTTAAATGGTAAACTCTTCATGACAAATATGCAATTAAGCCCCGTTGCTCGATCTGATAACGAATGAAAAATTTATCACAATTGAGAATTGAGATCGGGGCGGGTATAGGTGGGGTTTGGCTTTTTTTTTCTTAATATACATAGTATGCTTTGAACAATACGATACTCAAAAACATGTTTTTCATTTTTCATAGAGAAATTGCAGTTAAGCTCCGCCTTCTTGGCTAACGACGAATAAAAAAAATCATCACAATTGAGATATAGGGCGGGTGGGCGGGGCTTATATTTTGGCGTTTTTCTTAATATACGTAGGTCGTCTTTTCTGAACAAGAAACTTACAACATGTTTAAAATGGTAAATTCTTCATGACAAATATGCAATTAAGCCTCGCCCCTCGATCTGATAACGAACGAAAAATTTATCACAATTGAGAATTGAGATCGGGGCGGGTATAGATGGGGTTTGGCTTTTCTTTTTTCTCAATATACATAGTATTCTTTGAACAATACGATACTCAAAAACATGTTTTTCATTTTTCATAGAGAAATTGCAGTTAAGCTCCGCCTTCTTGGCTAACGACGAATAAAAAAAATCATCACAATTGAGATATAGGGCGGGTGGGCGGGGCTTATATTTTGGCGTTTTTCTTAATATACGTAGGTCGTCTTTTCAGAACAAGAACTTACAACATGTTTAAAATGGTAAATTCTTCATGACAAATATGCAATTAAGCCCCGCCCCTCGATCTGATAACGAATGAAAAATTTATCACAATTGAGAATTGAGATCGGGGCGGGTATAGGTGGGGTTTGGCTTTTTTTTTTCTTAATGTACATAGTATTCTTTGAACAATACGATACTCAAAAACATGTTTTTCATTTTTCATAGAGAAATTGCAGTTAAGCTCCGCCTTCTTGGCTAACGACGAATAAAAAAAATCATCACAATTGAGATATAGGGCGGGTGGGGCGTCATTTTGCCTTTTTATTCTTAATATGTGTATACTTATTTTGACAACAAGAAACTTAAAACATGTCTAAAATGGTAATTTTTTTAAATAATCAACTTAAATCCTCCACTTTCCTTGTATGTATGTACAGTCTGGGACACGGAATTTCAAACGACCTGTCAATCATAATGACAATAAGGTATAAGACTACAATGTTTTTAAATGTCAGAAAGTTGGTTGTCGTTTGAAATTCCGTGTCCCTGACTGTACAACCCCTTTGAATACGGCAAAAGTTGAACATCAAAGTTACTATCAACGGCAACTTGGCAACGGAGTTTATTAATGACAATTTTCAGCTCTAAAAACAACGTCAGCGGCAACGGGAACTTCAACGCCAATAGCAAGTTTATAAATCCCACTTAACGTTAGTGAGACATAATTTTTATCGCAAAATTTAAAGCTAAAACGAGGATTACGACTTGTATTACAAAAACAGAAAAATCTTTTGTTTCCATGTTACAGATCATTTTAGTATTAAATTTAGTTTCAAGTTTCGTAGCGTAATGTCAAACGCATTTTTATTATCAACATAACAACTTCACCTTATAAATAAAACTAATCCTGTGTTTTTTTTTTCAGCTAAAATGTTCCATCAACTAACCCGCTACGTTTTCGACCAATGGTTACCACAAACGACGTCGTCAACAGCGGCCGAGGGGGTCGAAACCGACACAGCAGCAGCAACACCCACAAGACTGACTTCCGCGGAAACGGAAGACGACTGGGTGCTGGTGGATCGGCGCCACGATGACGACGTCGACAGCGAAGGCAACTCCAAGTCGAGCTCGCTGGAGAACCTCGACGTCGACGATGACGACGGCCTCATGGTGGTCGAGCGCAGCCCCGACCGGGTCGTCGTCGTCGACACGGCCAACCTGCCAGTACCCGCGCTACTCACACGTACCAATTCAGCATCGTCACTGCCTCGCGTCCCCATGGAGGAGTCGTGGTTCCTTACGCCCCCGCCGTGCTTCATCTCGACGGGGCCGGTGCACATGGAGACGTCGCCGCTGGAGAACCTCCTCATCGAGCACCCGAGCATGAGCGTGTACACGCACCACGGCAGGAGGTACAACTTCGCGACGGCGGCGACGCCCGAGCCCGAGGAGGAGGTGGTGGAGGAGGACATCGGCGACGACGGCGCCGGCGTCGTCTTGGTGCACAGGGCGCCCAGGGTCAATAGGGTCCACTTGCTGCAGCAGCAGGAACGGCAGGGGCTCAAGAGCAGACAAGCTCAAAAGGTAAACTTGACGAGTTTAATATTCATCAAATGAGCTGCGATCAATCATAAACCGGGTTGTACTATTGATATTGGTATGAATGGCATCGTGTTCTGAGAAGTAACGCGATAGGAGGAAGGAGCCTTGAAATTGCATATTCACTTTAAAACCGCAGAGAATACTATCGAGAAAGATTCCGTAACAGTGATGGAAATGCGCATTTTTTCTTTGTTAGATTGAAAGGTTCGTCATAAATCTTATTTCAAAACTTTCCGTTGTGTCAAGGAAAATTTTGTTTAGGTTTATATTTACTTCGAACGTCATATCGATCAGATGGCGGTGTCAGACCTGATTGGGTTTTACGGGTAGGTGTTTATTGTAATATTAAGGCATAATCTATCAATCTGTGATCATAAACAGTTAAAGTATCGAAACTTTACCACTGGAAATGACAAACAATAGAAATCTTACCGGTTTTTTGTGAAATTTGACAAAAAAAAAAAACACTTTATACCTGCAGTTTATGAATCCGCCTATTATTTGTAAGCTTCAATATACAGATTTAAAAAATAATAAAAGTGTGTGCAACATTTTACAATTTAACTTTGGAACTGCAAAACCGACGCTTTAAACTTATCGCAAATATGGTAAATCGCTTATCAAAATTTGTCTGTTTCTCCCCTCCAAAAACTTGATGACGTGAAAAATAAAGTTGATTTGCACAAATATTTTTCAAAAAGTGAGTTGCTCTATTTATTTGAACTAATTCCATAATTTTGAACCGCCTTTTAATTTTTGTTCACATAAAAAACCGGATTAAAAAAAAACCATAATTATTATTATTGTTTTTTTTTATTTTTTGCTGCCACTGCATTGCACTAAAAACATAAGATTTTTTGTAAACATAAAAAAAAGTTCGAAAATTATAATTTGCTTTAAACAGTTGGGCCAACGAACGTTTCTTTTATAGTATTGCCATTAAGTTATTTTGTTCTTTTTTTTTTGGCGAAACTTTTGGATGCCAAGGGTAAAAAGTATGTTATTTTATAAAATGTAAGTAGTTTACCGTGCAAAATTTTGAGGTGACGACAGCAAATTGTTGGTAGGGATGATCAGACAAATTCTAATTCGCGTTTTACTTCTACACAATATTCCTGATATTAATTTAAGATCTGACAACAATCAATCCGGTAGTTTCGGAAATTATCTTCCTAATAAATATCGACACAGACAGATAGACAAACGGACGACAGACAGATAGATAGACAGGCAGACAGACAGACGCTTGGGAAGTAAAATTTTGAAATAATAATTATTATTATTATTGAAGTCTTCATTAAGATGAATTAGTACTTTTAACTTAAACGGTTTAGTGTTGGTAATTTAGAAAAAAAAAAAATAATAAAAAAGAATAAAAACCGAAAATTGTAAATCCGAAAAATCGACAAAACGAAAAATCCAAAATTTAAAATATCGAAAAAAGGAAAAATTCAGAAACGCAAAAATTCACAAAAATGAAATGGTGAAATATTGAGAAATCGAAAAGTCGAAAAAGGTAATTTGTATTAAAAAAATCGAAGAATTGAAAAGTCGAAAAACTGAAAATCAAAACATGGGAAATCGAAAAATCTAGAATTTATAAAATGGAAAAATGAAGAATTGAAAAATTCCAAAACTGGAATGTCGAAAAATGGAAAATTGAAAAATCGAAAAGTCGAGACGTGGAAAAATTGATACAGCCCAAAACCGAAAATTTAAAACCAGAAAAATTTAAATTTAAAAAAATCGATAATGAAAACATTAAAAAATCGAAAACTGAACAATAGAAATATCGAAATCCCGGTAAATAGAGAAATCGAAAAATGGAAAAATCGAAAAATTAAAAATGTTCCAAAACTCAATTATGCAAAGATTGATAAATTAAAAAATCGAAGAAAAATTGAATCGAAAAACTGAAAAATCCCAAAACTGAAACGTTAAAAACTTGAAAAGTTGAAAATTTAAAAAATTGAAAAATCAAAAACTTGAAAAATTGAATAATCGAAGAACATTTGAAAAATCAAAAATTTGAAAAATAGAAGCATAAAAAAATTCGAAAATAGAAAAGTCGAGACGTCGAAAAATTGAAACAGCCTAAAATCGGAAAATTAAAAATTGAAAAATTTAATTTAAAAAAATCGATAATCGAAAGATTGCAAAATCGAAAATTGAACAATAGAAACATTGAAGTCTCGAAAAGTAAAGAAATCAAAAAATGGAAAAATCGAAAAATGTCCCAAAACTCAATTATCGAAAGATTGATAAACTGAAAAATCGAAGAAAAATTGAATCGAAAAACTGAAAAATCCCAAAACTGAAACGTCAAAAAATTGAAAAGTCGAAAATTTATAAAATTGAAAAACCAAAAAATTGAAAAATTAAAAATGCCTCAAAACTCAATTATCGAAAGATTGATAAATTGGAAAATCGAAGGAAAATTGAATCGAAAAACTGAAAAATTCCAGAACTGAAACTCCAAAAAATTGAAAAGTTGAAAATTGAAACAATTGAAAAATCAAAAACTTGAACAATTGAAAAACTGATGTAGCCCAAAATCGGAAAATTAAAAACTGAAAATTTAAATTTAAAAAATCGATAATCGAAAAATTGAAAAATCGGAAACTGAACAATAGAAACATTGAGGTCCCGATAAATAAAGAAATCAAAAAAAAGAAAAACCGAAAAATTAAAAATGTCTCAAAATTCAATCATCCAAAGATTGATAAATTGAAAAATCGAAGAAAAATTGAATCGAAAAACTGAAAAATCGAAAACTTGAAACGTCAAAAAATTGAAAAATTAAAAATGTCCCAAAACTCAGTTATGGAAAGATTGATAGATTGAAAAATCAAAGAAAAATTGGATTAAAAACTGAAAAAAAACTAACGTCAAAAAATTGTAAAGTCGAAAATGTAAAAAACTGAAATGTCGAAAAATTGGAAAACTGAAAAATAGAAACAAAAAAATTGTTAAATCAAAAAGTCGAGACGTCGAAAAATTGATATAAACCCAAAATAGGAAAATTAAAAACTGAAAAATTCATTTTAAAAAATTCGATAAACGAAAAATTGAAAAATCGGAAGCTGGACAATAGAAACATGGAAGCTTCGGTAAATCGAAAAATGTAAATTTAAAAAATTGAAAACAAAATTAGAATATCGAAAAATTAAAATATTGAAAAATTAAAAATGTCTCATAAACTGTATCGAAAGATTGATAAATTGAAAAATCGAAAAAAAATGAATCGAAAAACTGAAAAACCCAAAACTGAAACGTCAAAACATTGAAAAACTTAAAATGTCCCCAAATCTCAGTTATGGAAAGATTGATAGATTGAAAAATCGAAGAAAAATTGAATTAAAAACTGAAAAATCCCAAAACTGTAACGTCAAAAAATTGTAAAGTCGAAAATGTAAAAAATTGAAAAATCAAAAACCTGAAAAATTGAAAAACTGAAATGTCGAAAAATTGGAAAACTGAAAAATAGAAACATAAAAATTGTAAAATCAAAAAGTCGAGACGTCGAAAAATTGATATAACCCAAAATAGGAAAATTAAAAACTGAAAAATTCAATTTTAAAAAATTCGATAATCGAAAAATTGAAAAATCGGTAACTGGACATAAGAAACATTGAAGCTTCGGTAAATAGAGAAATCAAAAAATGGGAAAATCGAAAAAAGGAAATTTAAAAAATTGAAAATAAAATTAAAAAATCGAAAAATTACAATATTGAAAAATTAAAAATGTCTCAAAATTTTATCGAAAGATTGATAAATTGAAAAATCGAAAAAAAATTGAATCGAAAAACTGAAACGTCAAAAAATTGAAAAGTCGAATATTTAAAAATCGAAAAATCAAGAACTTGAACAATTGAAAAATCAAGAATGTCCCAAAACTCAATTATCGAAAGATTGATAATTTTTTTTTACTTGTCAAGTATAAACTCGTTCATAGCATAATAATTATGGAAAAGTAGTTCTCCCATTTCCGGCTATCTGTTACTCGTGGGTTAGTTGGTGTTTTTTTTTTTATACAAGTGATCCTCGAAACTGAGGAAATTTTAGATATATGTATGTATTATAAAAATATCACGTAGGTGGTGGAAACGCTAATCAAAATTTGTCTATTCATCCCCACTGAAAATGCGATGACGTCAACTAAAAATTCTGCTAGATAAATTTATTGGCACCAAAAGGGCTTTCAGTTCACAGTTGGCAATTTCGACATCGGCACGCCTAAAACCAATGAGAAAGAAGATAGAAAACACATTTTTGAAAATAAAATCTTGAGAACATAACACTCTTTGTCCAGTTCATATTTTTGCTCTTCAGTGACGAAATGCTTGTAAATCAGATCAAACAGAAGTTACACTTCAATGAAAAACTTTGTTTTATTTTAAGTGACCATAAACACGTAAATAACAAAATAATATGCAGCTTACAACCCAAAATTAAAATTTGGCTCAAATCGTACTCTGCAGTTATTTTTGGCATCAAAGGAAATTTTTTACTTAATGAATTTTTTGTACCATAAGAAAAGTTTCTGCGATTTTAGATTCATCTACCGCAGTTTAATTAATGGAGTTGCCGGACCTGAAAGGAAATGACCGTGCGTTTAAATGTACTATTTATCTGCTTATATCGTCTCGTAGCTCATTTCAATACAATGATAATACGATTAAATTTTTTTCTCGTTTCAGGTGCAAATTAAGAAGGCATGCAAATTCGTCAAACGGGGCTCCCTCAACCGTAACAATAAGGCTCGTGAAGTAAACAGTCGCAATCGTCGACAAAGGCGCGGGGAACGTTCACAGGGCGCCACTCGTTCCTTCGCCAACAATAACCGCAAGTGCTAAACTGGGCACAAAGTAAAAATGATCTCAAATAAGTCGCAGCGCCCCGGTGCCACTTCGGTATTCATCGAATGATTTTCGTTTTTCCCACCAAGCTTTCGTGATCAGTTCTGCCGACATTTCTCATGTTAATTGACGAAGAAGGGTAATATTGATTAAAAACCCCTTCTGTTTGTTTTTTGTTTATTATTTTCTTTGTTTCTTTGTTGTGCAACGGAGAACGTGGTTAGCTCGAGAGACTCATGGGAAAAACCACCAAAGCACCGTGTTGTGTTCATTAAAAAATTCTGTAGAAATGTGCGCCGGACAATACCGATCCGGACCGAGTGCTGCGACACCAAAAAAATATATATAATTTAATGTTCGTCTTTCATAGTTTTTTTTTTTTTTATTAATATAGTAATTTTATTTATAATCACGTTAACAGAAGCAGGGAATTTCAAATCTGGGCATTCTTATTTATTTGGCCAGTTGTTTTTTTACCTGTATGTTAATGTGAGACAAGTGTACATACAGAGATATAATAGTCTATTTTTATTGTAATTACTTTTAGTGAGAAAAACGATAAATTATTTTTGTTGGTTATGTATTTTTCAACCACTCAATCTGGGCTCGGTTTTCGAAAATCAATTAGAGTCAATTAGGAACAATAACACCCACTCGATAGTTTCAATAATTCGTCCAATTTTCGAATACTTAGCTTTGATTCCATCACCACTTTACTGGATTTATAAATAACGGGACAGCCTGAAGAACGAACCAATTATTATATTTTTTATAAACCGACTACACTTAAATCAATAGGACGATTCATAAATCCAGTAACGGTCTCTATACTGTATCTGTATAGTTTTACTGTATCATTACTCAACCACCTACCGGTGGAATAACTCAGTTATCAAGGCATACACATAACATCAAATAAAACCACAATGCCTTTCCAACATTACAAACCTAGTAACTGATAATAACACTTAATTTTTAGGTGATAGCCTTTATTGAGTCACACTATATATTTTATCGGTTAAATGTATTTTACCTAGATAAAGGCTTGAATTGTGCTTGTGAAAATTAAAAAAAAATGTATCATTAAAAAAAAATCCGATTGTGTGCACCTTACAATGTTTTCAAGTATTATAATGACAAAATCAGTTCTGCGTACAGAACCGCGATTATTCTTATAGAATATGATTGATTGTGACGAATGCATGTTAATGTTAAGTCTGTATGTTAGGTTCGATTTATGGATTAAACTATGTTTATAAGTGGTATGTATAAAATGTATGCAGCACGATTAGATGGTAGTTACTAAAATGTATGCATCTTAGCGAGTTTTATTCGAGTTTGTAAGTGTTCAGAGTGTAATCAATAATATGCGCTAATGTTCATTTTTATCATGAAGTGCAACCTTTCAGTGCGTGAAAGACAGAAGAAAATGTTATAAAAAGTTGAAAACAATAAAAATTAATTATGTTGATGGCGTTTTTGTGATAAGAGGGTTAGATAACCTCAAAGTTAAGCCTACTTACGGTTGGGAAATGCTCAAATTCCGGACTTTATTTGGCGGGAGGAAATGTGCGGTGATCGGGATGGTGCATGTTGGGGCACTACCAGGTAACTAATTTAATACTGAGGGAATTAAAAACACTCGTCGCGAGTAAGCACTTGGCACATGGGCTAGCAACGAAAGTGAGGTTATGTACTGACAAAATTGCAACGTAGACACTTGTTTGCTCTTCGATAAAAGTGCAAATTGCACTCGGTGATCATGTTTCGAGTAACTGATAACGTAGATAAAGGGACGTGTTAGTCGGGAATAGTGACTTATTAAGAAACTCGGATTCAAAATGAGCGGCTAAAAGTCACGTGATTTCAGCTGTCATACAAATGTCAAACAATTTGAATTCGAATTTATTAGGTACCCCTCGATTTGAAAATTCGGTCGAAAAGTTAGTCCACAACGCACTGAAGGAGGTCGAAATATACTTGAAATGCGATATTGTAAGTCGTGGATTTGTTATAAAACGAATTGTTGTTACAATTATTTTCAGGATGGGCTGCTTGTGGAAAATATGCATGATGTTCCGTATATACAGTCGAGACACTTCAATCCTGAGGTAACAGCTACCATGACTCGCGTTTGTTCAGAAATTAAAAAAATTGTGGATACAAAGTTACCCTGTGGCTTACAAGTGAGTTTTTGATTTTGTAGTGGCAAAACTGCACCCTTGTAATAGGTTTTGGCTTCAGGCAACAAAGAAGCCCTAGCTGTCGCTCAAGCCACCGGTTTCCACTTTATACGAGCCGAGGGGTTTGTTTTCGGTCATGTGGCTGATGAAGGCTACACTGACGCCAACGCAGGTTTGACGCTGCGCTATCGCAAGAACATCCAAGCTGACGACGTTCTTGTTTTCGCCGATATTAAGAAGAAACACAGGTCTATTATCTGTTCACGATCTTTATGTAGTAGGGTTGGCCATGAAAATCTAGTGAGTTTGTTGGTATTCAATACAGAAGAATATAAATTCCCTGAACTTTTCGTTAGAGAAATATAAACATTGTTGCCGATACTTTCAGTTTTCAGTAGCAATGATCAAGTTAACGGTATCCATTTCTTAGAAAGCATAAAACTTTACGCTATTTAAAACATTTATTCGGCTTTTTGTAAGTGTTTATTTCATATGTAAGGAACAAACACTAAAATTTCACTTAAACATTGTTTTTATATGAGTGGGGGTTCTACATACGACTATTGTAGCATGGCACATTTAGTATCTCATTTTTAATTCTCAATCATCAGTTCGTTCTGCTCGCCCACTCTTCTTAGAAATGGAAATTTCGACCTTTGTGAACAGCCTATTTCCATATCTTCCAACTTCTTTTTTCACTTTTCTAAGATTTAAAAGGGTTGGTAAAAGACAACAACCTTTTTCTAGTGCTTTGATCGGTTTAGCTCTTCTGAAACATTTTTCCGGCCTTAAATTGAATGATTTATCTATATAGCTATTACTAATGCTTACGTAAGTGCTCTTTATTTCCTTTCACTAAGTACTTTCCAACGCTTATTAATAAGAACGTTACTATACGCCTTTTCCAGGTCCATGAAGAGTAACAAAAAAAATGAAAATGCTTAAAATTTGGTGCAAATTAACAACGTGGATGATCTAACTAAAATTATACTTATTTTGTTGTACGTCAGGTAGTTTTTCACATACTACCTTGGTAAATTTAGAACGAAAGATGCGTAAAAAAATCACCCCCCAACAAGCTACAATTCACTCCATATCTATTATTTCGTTATGAAAATCTGTATCATCACCGTCATTTTCAAATTCAGATTCTGAATCAGATTCCCCTAGCGAAATAACGCAAGGAGGTATAGATTCGTACGAAAGATTTCCCATATTTTTGTTCCAATCTGCCAAAATAAGTTTTTCGCAATGTTTACAAAAATTTTGCCACATGCTTGGAGTACATTTAGAAAGCGCCTCAAGCCATAAATTCTTCACCTTTTTTTTAATGAAGGTTGAGAATTTATATGCGTGTTGTAATAGTCCTTACAAAATCCCCACGCCATTTCAATTGGATTATATTGACAATGGTACGGAGGTAATCTAAGAACTTCATGGCCAATTTCTCTTAATGTCTCGTCTACCACATATTTTTTTTCTATTGTTTCTGAAGCGTTTAATTAAATCTCACAACTGTTTCTTCGAAATATTTTTGTCAAATTCAACACTATATTTAATGAGCATTTCACATTTTTTACTAGAAAAAGTGGGTGGTTTATCCAAATGAACCGAATGATACGCTGCATTGTCTAAAACCACCACACATTTTTGGTCAACTTTGTCAAAGCAGGATTAACCACCTAATTTTGAAAAATTGTCCCGTCCATCGTTTTATGATAGTCTCTATCGTTATTTTTTGAATTTAAAAAATTGTTACAACCGTGCAAGAACCCCGTGGAGTAAACCTTGATCCTTCACTTTTAAGGGGACTCGCTAGACGAGGTATAAGATTTTTTTGGTTTTTTGTATGAAAAAATGATATTAATATAGATGTATCATACATCAAACTGCAGCTTTTTTCATATTCTAGAGACCAGTTCAATCAATTAAAAAAATATGGCTGAGAAATATCGTAAAAAAACACCATTGTATGTTTTCTTTTCAAGTTTTTTGAGTCATAACCATCATAGAATCGCTTGAAAATTCGCACATGGATAAAACATCACTTTTTACAGGGCGCAGAGTCATTAAATGTTTGTTAGTGGTACAGTTTGTTTAAATAATAATGTGTTTATTAAAATCAAAATATGTCACAAATTAATGCAAAATATATTTGCTTATCCCCTCTAAAAAATTGATGACGTCAGCTCAAAAGTTTGCCGAATAATCCTATTTAAAATGTACAAAATATGATGAGTCTCTTCTTGTAATTTATCATTCCATTCATATTTTTTGGATTCGGATATACAGGCTGACTCAAAAAATTTAATGATTGGGCAAATTTATTTTATTGATTTAATCAGGAACTACAAAACCGTATGCTTTGAAACCTAATGCGAAAAAAATCATAATAGGCATGCAGTCGTCACGTTTTCGATAGCGAGGGAAGTACTGTCTAAACTCTTTAGACCGATTTTTTTTATTTTCGCATTTCTCCATTTCTCAATTTTTCAATGTTTCAGTTTGGGATTTATTCACTGTTTCGATTCTTTAATTTTCCTTCGATTTTTAGGTTTTTCAATATTTCAACTTTGGAATTTTGCAATATTTCGTTTCTTCAATTTTTCAAATTTTTGATATTGTTTTCTCGGTTTTTAAATTTTTCGATATTTTAATTTTTCAGTTCATTTCAATTTTTAAATTTTAGATATTTTGTTTTCTTTAATGTTTTGAGTTCTCGATCATTCAATTTTCTGAGTTTTCGGGCTTAGATTTTTTTTGTTGTTCAATTCTTGGAATTTAAAATTTTTGTTTTTTAAATTTTCCTATTTATCAACTTGGTGGGATTTCAATGTTTTGATTTTTTGATTGTTCAATTTCTCGATTTTTTGAATTTTTAGTTTTTGATACGATTTTTTTTTTAATTTTCAGTTTTTCAATTTATTAACTTTACGATACTTCAGTTTTGCTCGATTTCGATTTCTCAATTTTTCGACATATTGTTGGGATTTTTCAATTTATCGATTCTTGGATTTCTCGATTCTTCATATTTTCGGTTTCTCGAATTTCTTCATTTTTCGATTTCTCAATTTTCCGATGTTTCAGTTTTACGATTTTTAAATTTTTTTATTTTTCAGTTTTCAATTTTTGACGTTTCTAAATTTTTCGATTAACTGATTTTTTAATTTTCCTATTTCACTATTTCTTGATTTTTCAATTCTTTCTTCAATTGTGATTTTTCAATTTTTCGATTTCTGAATTTTTCAATGTTTCAGTTTTGGATTTTTTCACTTTTCCGATTCTTCAATTTTCTTTCCATTTTTCAGTTTTTCAAGATTTCAGTTTTGAATATTTTCACTTTTTCGATTTTTCAGTTTTCCTTCCATTTTTCAGTTTTTCAGTATTTCAGTTCTGGGATTTTGCAATGTTTCGGTTCTTCAATTTTTCCATTTTTTGATGTTTCGATTTCTCGGTTTTTCAATTTTTCGATAGGTATTTTAATTTTTCAATTTTTAAGTTCTAGATTTTCCGTTAATTTTTTTGTTTTCCTTGATGTTTTGATTTATCGATTATTCGATTTTTCAAGTTCTCGGTTTAGATTTTTTGGTTTTCCAATTCTTCGATTTTTAAATCGTTTAATTTTTAGATCGTTCAATTTCTTGATTTTTAGATTTTTCAATTTTTCGGTTCACCGATTTTTTTTCATTTATAATGTTTCAATTATTAACTTTTCGATTTTTCAATTTTGGTCTAATTTTGATTTCTTAATTTTTTATTTTTTGACTCCTCTGCTGTTGATGTTTTGATTTCTCGAATTTTCAATTTTTTGAACATTTCGATGTTTCGATTTTTCGACTTTTTGGCTTTTCGAGTGTTCAATTTTTTGATTTTTGAATTTTAAATTTTTGTTTTTTTGATTTTTTTAGTGTTTCGATTTCCCAATTCTTCAATTTTTCGATATTTTACTTTTTCAATTTTTCGAATTTTTAAATTTTACATTTTTCGGTTTTACTATTTTTTGATGCTTGTATTTCTCAATTTTTCAAGTTTTCAATACTCATTTTTTCAGGATTTGAATATTGAGAACTTTTCAATTTCTGGATTTTCAATTTTCAGATATTTTAATATTTTGGTTTTTTAATGTTTCGATTTTTGGATTTTTCTATTTTAAGTATATTTCATTTTTCAATTTGCGCCTTTTGCGGTAGTATTATTTGTTGTGCTGCACTTGGCGGGCGAGGGAAGTTCTGTCGAAATAACCTTCGACCAATTTTTATACTTAGCACATAGGGTTCTTCTAAGCATTCCTTATTTAACCGAACAGTTATTAATTTAACTAAGCAGCTATTATTCCACCAAGCACACATTATTTTTACTGAGAATTTATTTTTTAACTGAGCATTTATTATATAACTTAGCATTAAAGTTAATTAAAAAATTGCGTCTAATAATTCTGATCTAATAAATGAAGTAGAAAAGTGGCAATCCAGCTCAAAGCAAATGTCAATCAGACTACTGATAGACAAAAAACTAAATCATCAAATCAGTTTATCCAACTTAAAGAAAAAATATCAAAGCCTACTGTACTATATAAAGATCGTGAATGGATAATAGAATAATGTTTTGAAAAATCGTGTTCATTATTATTTTTTTTTTTATAAATTCTAGCTCCCATGCTGTCACCAGTGACGTTTCTCTGGTAGAAACCGCCAAAGCCGCTGAATTTTTCCTAGCAGATGGCCTTATTCTAACTGGAACGGCGACGGGAAGCCCTGCGGATGGTCAAGAATTAAAGGAAGTTCAGGCATGTACTTCACTGCCTGTCTTAATTGGATCAGGAATTACAGTTGATAACGTGTCAAATTATTCAAGTGCTGATGCTTTTATAATAGGATCACATTTTAAAAAGGGTGGGAAATGGGGTAATGAGCTCGACGTGGAGCGGGTGAAGCGGTTCATTGAAAAAAAAAACAGTCTGTGTATATAAAAATGTATAAAACTCAAAATTCGCTCTCTCAATTCATAGTCATGCCAAAAAACTTAAAATCGTATGAATTTTACAACATTCTGACGCTGAATTAGTAACTAGTTTTTGATATTCAAATTGTATCAAATCATACATAATTTGTACATAGGTGATGTAATAAAGTATTGGACAATTATACACAGCTCCATAAACAACCTACTTAAAACCAAAAAATTTTTTCACTGATGAGCCAATCCCACACAACCACTGGTTCATTTTAAAGGAGAAACCTCTATCAGGGTGTGGTTGCCCAAAAACGAACAAGTCTCTTGAAACACTAGCATCCTGTCTTGATGGAAAATCATCAAATCTTTCATTAATCTGATTTTCTTTGAACTCTCTCATTTCTGGCGGTTTTAATGTAATGAGAAATGAAGGAGTGCAGTTTCCATTTTCTGCACTATTTGGAAGACTGAAGGTGGTCCTGAGTGGCCTCCTTTTCGCCAGCATCACAGGTCTACTGACATCATTTTGCTCCACCTAGAAACACAATCAATGAAATGTAATTACACTTTAAACACCCTTACAAAAGCGGTTTTTCTCTTTCTCAATTTTGTACCAGGGCTCAACCCAACTTCATTGTATTCACCCACATCTTTTCTCTTCACAGGTCTCCTAACTGTACTTTCTTTTCTAAGTGTTTTCCTATCATTAATTAAATTTTCAATAGCTGCTTCAATTTCATCCACCCACTTTATAGTGTCTGAGTAACTGTTATCATACAAGACCATTTCCTCATCCTGGCACACCACTTTAAACGCACCTTTGTCATGGACTGTCTTTACTTTGCATTTACTCAGTGGATAAATGCCACAACATTTCAAAGAATTTAGTTTTAACTCATCTTTTTTCATTTTGCAAAACATGATGATGTCATTCATTAAAACCACGTGCATTCTTTGACTGTGACTAGATTTGTTGATAAGGCGCGACAAAGGGCCTTCTTTTATTAAAAACCGTCCTGGAGTGATTACACTGGGCTCGCCATGTTGTAAACACCTCTGCAGTTCAATCAGTCGTTGCATGTGTTCATGGTCTTTGATGATTTTGTTAATATGATCAGCTGCGTTTTCTACTTTTTTTAGAGAGTCTGAAAATAAACAACAATAAAATCACAATAGGGTTTTAAATTTTTAATTACCTAAGAGACTGTTATAGTCTGGCTCAGCTGGAGAAGTCAGATTGAATAGAGAAGTCAGAAGTAGCTTATATCGCGGCACACGCTGTATTGGCACGATTAGAAGCGCTGAAAGCTTGGACTGCACCTCTGGGCGTGTCTCTTGACTCTCCAGAAATTTTTCAAACTTTGGGTTATCTCGGTGGCAGTTCTGCAACCAATTTATTAACACAGTTGCTACCTAAACAAAACCCTCACCTGTAGAAATTCCAAACTCCTCTTAAATCCCGACGCATAAAACGAATAGCTCTTGAAAAACGGAGCAAGCTTGGTGAACGCTTTGGCCACATTATTGTTCGAGTTGTGCAGCTCCTCCAACAGCTTCTTGTTAATATTATAAATGGAAGTCAAGTCCCTGAATAAAATGTCAAAATCTGCCGGCTTCAACAACTCCTTTTCCTGCGTCGGTTTAATAAAAAATTGCATTATAACCTCCAATTGCCGGATGTAATTCTCCTCCGATTCGAGTATTTCGCTCAGAATTTTCTCTTTTTTTGTCTTCCGGGTGCATTCTTGATTCTCCTGCTCGATTTCCTCCAGTGCTGCCGTTACACGTTTCCGAGTTTTGGTCGTTAGCAAATTTTTTTCGTTGATTGCTCTTTTAAGCTCGGCGCTGAATTCGCTATTTACCTTTGGGGTTATGGGCTCCAGGACGACGAAGCACGGTTTTGTGGGGGTTTTTTGTTCAGACATTGTTGGAACAGTCCGTGTAAATTTTAAAAAGTGTTATTTAGTTACCATTTAACAACCACCTGTTGGCGGAAAAATACGGTCGCAGAGGTGCCAACACCGTGGTTTGAAGTTTGCGACTAGTGCTACCAACATTGTGGGTTTTAATGATTGTTGATTTGAATCTTCACCGGTTTTTCGACATTTATAATAATAAGTGTTGCAATTTTACATTTAAATCATGAATGCAGAGACGATGTAATTCGGGAAGAGAAAAGTTTAATCCAGATAAATATTTTTCAAGGAATTAAATAATAAAATTCTGTGACTAAACTCCCAGCGCTGGTAATTTAGTGTCTAAATTTAAAATGATTCAAACACAGTTAAGACATGCGCATAAAAATTATGAAAGCCGCGGAAAATTGAAAATTTGGCCGTGACTGCTAACAAAATGGGAGACCTACAAGTGGGATTTTTGAACTTGCTGTTGACGTTGAAGTTCCCGTTGCAGTTGTTGTTCCCGTTGACGTTACCAAGTTGCCGTTAATATTAACCTTGATGTTCAAGTTTTACCTTATTTAAAGAGGTTGTAGAAGAAAAGTGGATTTAAGTTGATTACTACAAAAATTTACCATTTTAGACACGTTTTAAGTTTCTTGTTGTCGAAATAAGTCTACACATATTAAGAAAAAAAAAGGCAAAATGTAGCCCCGCCCACCCACCCTGTCTCAATTGTGATGATTTTTTTATTCGTCGTGGGCCAAGAAGGCGGAGCTGAACTGCAAAATCCTTATTTCTCAACGGAAAATTAAAAACATGTTTTTAAGTATGGTGTTATTCAAAGAATACTGTTTATATTAAAAAAATTAAAACCAAAGATTAACTTGCCTTGATTTAAATATCAATGAAGTTTTCATTCGTTGGCAGACTTAGGGGCCGAGCTTAATTGCAAAATCCATATTTTCTTACAAAAATTTACCATTTTAAACGTGTTTTAAGTTTCTAAGAATAAAAAAATATACATAGTATTCATTCAACAACACGATACTCAAAAACATGTTTGTGATTTCTTGTAGAGAAATAAGTATTTTGCAGTTAAGTTCCGCCCCCTTGGTTCACGGCGAATAAAAAAATTATCACAAGGGAGATAGGGCGGGTGGGCGGGCTGACATTTTACCTTTTTGTTTTAACATATGTGTACTTCTTTTCACAATATGAAACTTGAAACATGTTTAAAATAGAAAATTTGTATAAGGAAATATCGATTTTTCAATTAAGCTCCGCCGCATAATTGCAAAATCCATATTTCCTTGCAAACATACCATTTTAACCCGGTTCTAAGTTCTTGTTGTGAAAAGATGGCTATGTATATTAAGAAAAAAAGCAAAATATAAGCCCCGCCCACCCGCCCTATCTCAATTCTGATGATTTTTTTATTCGTCGTAAGTCGAGGGGCGGAGCTTAATTGTAAAATCTTTACTTTTCTACGAAGAATTACCATGTGAAATATGTTCTTAAGTAATCGTGTTATACAGAGGAAACTATTAAATGTATTAATTAAAAAAGAAAACCAAAAGAGAAGCCCCACCCATTCGTCTCGATCTCAGTCGTGATGAATTTTTCATTCGTTGCCAGACCTAGGGGCGGAGCCTAATTGCAAAATCCATATTTCTCTACAAAAATTTACCATTTTAAAGGTGTTTAAATTTCTAAGGATAAAAAAATAACTACAATTGAGATGGGGTGGGTGGGCGGGGTTAATGTTTTGCTTTTTTTTCCTTAATATACACAGTAATCTTTGGACAACACGATACTCAAAAACATGTTTGTGATTTCTTGTAAAGAAATAAGTATTTTGCAGATTCCGAACTCCAGAAGATACATTTGCCACATTTCTTCGAACGCTTACAATTTTTCCAAAATTGCCCTATGTAATTTGACACTTTTTTAAATAAACTTTCAAACCAAATGTTTCTAAAATTTTCAGATTTTTTCTGGATTTTTAGGGAACCCTTTCAAAAGCTCAGTTTTTCGATGAAAGTACAGAAACTTCGACCTTTTTCGACCAAATAACATTTAACCCCATTTTTTCTAAAACTCATACCATTTTTCCTGAATCGCCCCATGAAATGTGTCGTTTATTTTTTTTTTCCATTGATTTTTAAACCAAACATTTCTAAAATCTTGCTCTGGGTCCATAAACATGCTTTTCGAATTAATACGTCGGGATATAAATTTTAAACTCTTTCAAAAACTCAATTTTTCAGTGAAAATTTCGACCTTTTTTGAAAACCTTCAAAAATTAGTCGTTAAATGTTTTTTGCAGATTCCGAACTGCAGAAGATACATTTGCCCCCATTTCTTCGAACACTTACATTTTTTTCTGAATCGCTCTATGAAGTTTGATTTTTTTTTTAAATTGACTTTCAAACCAAATATTTAAAAAATCTTCATCCGGATCTATAAACATGCTATATTTTTTGGTTCAGCACGTCGAAATCTATAGTCCAGAATTTTTTCTGGATTTTTAGGGAATTTTTTCAAAAGTTCAATTTTTCAATGGAAATTATAGAAGTCATTAAGTGCTTTTAATAGATTCCGAGAAGATCCATTTGACCCCATTTCTTCGAACACTCATACAATTTTTCCAGAAAGGCCATATGGAGATTGTCATTTTTTTAAAATTAACTTTGATACCTAATATTTCAAAAATCTTCATCCGGATCGATAAACATGCTATATTTTCTAGATTTTTAGGGAACTCTTTCAAAAATGAAAATTATAGAAATTTTTACCGTTTTTCGACCAAATTCAAAAATTAGCCATACAAGTTTTTGAAAATCTCGATTTCCAGAAGTTCCATTTGCCCCTTTTTCTTCGAAAATTCATACAATTTTTCCAAAGTCGCCTAATGAAATTTGTATTTTTTTTATTTTTCAAAAAATTTACCTTGAAATCTTGCAGACGTGAAAAAGTTATTGTAAACTTGGTAAATCGTTAATCAAAATATATCTGTTTATACCTCCCAAAAAATTTTGACGAGTAAATCCTATCTAAAATGTGACAAATAAGTTCAGTCTATACTTGTAATTTATCACTGCATTAATATTTTTTAGATTTCCTTATACAGGGTGACTCAAAAAAAGAATCAATTTATTTTATTGAATAAATCAAGAATAATTGCAAAACTAAAAACCTTGAAATCTTGCAGACGTTGTAAAGTTATTGTAAACCTAGTAAATTGTTAATCAAAACATATCTGTTTATTCCCCCAAAAAATTGATGACGTCATCTAAAAATTTTGCCGAATAAATTCTACCCAAAATGTGCAAAATTCGATGAGTTTTTACTTGTGATTTATCAATTTTATTCATATTTTTTAGATTTGCTTAAACGGGTGGCTTAAAAAATTAATGAATGCGTCATTTTTTTGTGAAATGAAGGAAGGACGTGGGCGGTGCTAAAATTAGCTTTTTTCTAGTTTTATGCGCAAGAAGTTCCAGTGACTACTCTTAATATAGTTCAGTCTTATCTTAGCAAATTAAAAAATATCGAATTTGCAATCCGCTCCATAATTGCAAAATCCATATTTACTTGGAAAAATGTATCATTTTAACAATGTTCTAAGTTTCTCATTGTGAAAAGATGACTATGTATGTTAAGGAAAAAATACAAAATATAAGCCCCGCCCACCCACCCTATCTCAATTCTGATGATTTTTTTTATTCGTCGTAAATCGAAGCTTAATTGTAAAATTCATATTTTTCTACGAGAAAGTACCGTGTGAAGTATGTTCTTAAGTAATCGTGTTATACAAAGGAAACTATTAAATGTATTAATTAAAAAAGACAACCAAAAGAGAAGCCCCACCCATTCGTCTCCATCTCAATCGTGATGAATTTTTCATTCGTTGTAAGACCGAGAGGCGGAGCCTAATTGCAAAATCGATATTTCCTTATACAAAGTTACCATTTTAAACATGTTTTAAGTTTCTTGTTATGAAAAGATGACTACACATATTAAAAACTTAATTGCAAAATCCTTATTTCTTTACCAGAATCTTAATCCACCTACACTGTGCTTTGAAATAGTGAAATGTGTTGAACTGTAAAGTGGAAAAGTTTTATTTAAACAACTTTCAACTTAATTTTTAGAACGAAGGTAACAATGCTATTGTTACCCATGTTTGAAGTAGTTCTTTCTTGTCGAAAACTAAATTTATAGGATCTGTGTTATCTGCTATCTGTGTTTATGTAATATATCAATATAGCAATGAGTAGAAAACAAATAGTGCCGCCTTAAGTATAAAAATTGGGCTTGACAGGGTTATATATGATTGATTGTTGTAGAATCCTTTGATCCCTAATTATACAATAAAACAAACATGGTGTGATTGTGTAGATCACGTTCATTATTTTAATTTTAATGTAGCTTTTTATTCATAAGTCTAAATTGAAAGTTAGTTTACATAATGTATCATAATCCTTCTTACTAGTACCTAACAACTTAATTACTTATTGAATTTGTGCAGTGTCATAGCGGTTCAATGCAATGAATTAATGTTTTTTTGATAAGAGATTAATCTGTGTCTAATCTTCAGACTGTCATTAAAAGCAAAGAAATTCGTCCGAAGTCTAAATTATTGACGCTTCGTAGACCATTTTTCAAATTTGGAGACATCAGCCTATTTAACTTTATCAACGATATACAAATATCTTGTCAAGTTTTATTGATGGGAGTTTGTTACACTCACAGTCGAAAATAATTACCCAGATTAAAGAAAGGATTATACACTACTGAAATCGTAGGTGATTGAAAAAGTCTCCTTAATCTTTTTAAACACTAGTCTATTGTATTTCACTCCCTATGTTATCACTCTTTCGCAACTATAAATACAAAGAATACGGAATTTTCGCTACAGTGACGACAAAATGCGAGCACCATCACTCGTACTAGTGGCCCTTGTGGGTTTTGTGGCTAGTGCCACCTACGATGGGTAACTAACTAATTCAGTTACAATAGTCACTAATGTATAATTTTTCACAGATACAAAGTTTACAAACTGGTACCTCAAACAGAAGTCCAGAGAGCTTACCTCAACTCACTGGCCGCTAGCCCAGATTTTGATTTTTGGTCAAAAATTGATCGCCTTGGAAACCCTGTGACGGTTATGGTTTCACCTAGATGGCAAAGACGGTTTGAAGGCCACCTCAAAGTTAACAATATTGACTACGAAGTTGTAATTGAAGACGTGGAAAGGTGAATTGTCCATTAAACTCGCAATTGTATTCACACATTTTTTTAGCTCCATCGAAGCCGAAAGAAAATACCATCTGTCTCAACCGGCTTTGAAATCTGGAAGAATCAGTTTCACTCAGTACCAGCGTCATTCTGCGGTACCTATTACGTTACGTTAATTTTGTCACTATTTTCATATTTTTTTCTTAGATTAATGACTATCTGACTGAACTCGTCAAGCAGTACCCTAGCATAGTCTCCTTGGAAAACATTGGCCAGTCGTACCAAAAACGCGACATGGTAGTCATTCGCATCTCTACAGGTAGCAGTAACCCAGCGAAACCAGTAATCTTCGTGGATGCTGGTATTCATGCTCGAGAATGGATAGCTCCTGCTACAGCTCTGTACCTGATCAACCAACTGGTTGAAAATTCCGCTAATCGTTACCTCATCGAAAACATCGACTGGATTATCCTTCCCAGTGCCAATCCAGATGGTTATGAGTACAGCTGGACCAACGATCGTCTCTGGCGCAAAACGGTTTCCCCTGGTACTCTTTGCAACGGTTGCGACCCTAATCGTAATTTCGACTTCCACTGGATGGAAACAGGAGCAAGCAGTTGGGAATGCTCTGAAACTTACGCCGGAAGTAGAGCCTTCTCAGAAGTGGAGACAAGAAATCTGAGGGACTACATTCTGAAGACCCCAAATATTAAAGCGTACTTGACTTTGCACAGTTATGGACAGTACTTGCTGTATCCTTGGGGATACGGCAACGTTTTGCCTTCCAACTGGAGGGAATTAGACGATCTAGGACAAAAAGTTAATGATGCTATTAGGGCTGTAAGTGGGACGAGATACACAGTGGGTAGTTCCACGCAGGTACTGTACGCTGCAGCTGGTGCGAGCGATGACTGGGCAATGGGTGTTGCTGGTATTGATCTTGTTTACACCATAGAACTTCCAGGAGGTGGGTCCTACGGGTTCGATTTGCCTGCGTCCAGAATTCAAGGAGTGGTTGTGGAAACTTTTGAAGGATTTAAAGTTTACGCAGACTATGTTCTTAATAATAGGAAATAAGTACTCAAAAGAAATAAAAGATGTTGGTTTAAACTGATGTGTATCTTAAGCATTCATTTCCTTGACTGTTATTGTAGTAGAGGTCAAATCACAAAAATAGTACTTGGGGTTACATAAAGTGGCCAAAACAATTAAAATCGAACGATTTTTTATCTCTACTTGTATCGAAACGTGTTATCTCTAGTGTTTCCATTATTTGTAAAAATGGGATTTATATATTAAAAGCAACAAATCGGTGTTTGTTTGTACTGACGAAGATAATGCGTTTGGTTATAGCTACAATAGTTGCCCTTTTGGGTACTACCCTTGGGGTTTCCTACGATGGGTAACTTTTATTTTATTCCCAAACCAAAAACTATTCTAATTCCTGTTTCCAGGTACAAGGTCTATAAAATTGTAACCAAAACAGAAGCTGAAGCTGCTTTGTTGAGGACGTTTGAGTCGAACGAAAACTTTGACTTTTGGTCAAGCATTAACAAAGTCGGTAAACCCATTTCCGTGATGGTGGCACCAAATGCACAAAGTCAGTTTGAATTTATTTTAAAAACAACCAAGATGCATTTCTCTGTTGAAATTGAAGACGTTGAAAGGTAATAACCCCTAAATAGAATTACAAAAATTGTATCTTTTGTAATAGTACCATTGAAGCGGAACGGAGGTACCACCAATCAAGACGACCTCTAAAATCGGGAAGAATCACCTTTGACCAGTACTTACGTCACGATGAGGTAAAATTATCTTGTTTATCTTATCTCAAATTCAAAGTTTCTTCCAGATTAATGCATATTTGGCCGAACTTGCCCAAAATTACCCAGACAATGTAACTCTGGAAACAATTGGACAATCATACCAAAAACGCGACATGATCGCAATCCGAATCTCTTCAGGCCCCAGCGATCCTCCAAAACCCGCTGTTTTCATAGACGCCGGAATCCACGCAAGAGAATGGATCGCACCAGCTGTGGCTCTTTATGCAATTAACCAACTGGTAGAAAACCCATACTACAGTCTCTTCACTGAACACGTCGACTGGATCATCCTCCCCAGTCTTAATCCCGACGGTTATGAATACACCTGGGACGAAAACCGCCTCTGGAGGAAAACCCTTTCTAACGGAACACGATGTATAGGTTGTGACGCTAATCGCAACTTTGGTTATCACTGGATGGAAGATGGCGCTGATGACGACGAGTGTTCGGAAATTTACGGAGGGAAAGAGGCGTTTTCAGAGGTGGAGACTCAAAACCTGAGGGACTATTTGGCGGACACGCCAAATATTAAGGGTTATTTGAGTTTGCACAGTTTTGGACAGTATGTGTTGTATCCTTGGAGTTATGCGGATGTTCTTCCTGACAATGCAGATGAATTGCAAGGATTGGGGGAGCAAATCAATAATGCTATTGAGGCGGTTAATGGAACGACGTACACTGTTGGTAGTACCACAGCAACTTTATATGCTGCTGCTGGAGCTAGTCAGGACTGGGCTATGGGTGGAGCTGGTATCGACATTGTTTATTCTATAGAACTGCCTGGGGGAGGGTTCTTCGGGTTTGATTTGCCCCCTTCTGAAATCGAGAGGGTTGCACTGGAAACGTTTGAGGGACTGAAAGTGTTCGGTCAGTACTTTGTAGCACAGAAGCGATAGTGTAATCTTCACTTGTATTAACATACAATAAATCAATACAAAAATATTTATCTCGAAAGTTTTTGTCCTTTGAATTTAATATTTACCTATACTTAAGTAATACTCTTACGTTATTTTTCTGATGGTATCTGTTTTATCATAAATCTACAAGCACTTGAGTTCTCTACAATTTGTTATTCATTGTCAAATAATTTTTAGAACTAGGCTATCTTTGTACTGTCTACACTATCAGCTTTTTGTTGTATCATCTATATAAAGGACTGCTGTGAGAAAACGGTTGCAGTGTTTAAAAATGTGTTCGATTAAAGCACTAATCTTTCTAACCCTACTGAGTGTAGCCTTTGGTGTAAGCTATGAAGGGTAATATACATTTCTGGAAAGTAAAATTTCTTTTAACACTAATTTTTTAGGTACAAAGTCTACAAAGTGACCACCGAAAGCAAACTCCAAAATGAATATTTCAAAGTTTTGCAGTCAAGTCCAGATTTCGATTTTTGGTCAAAACTGAACAAGGTTGGACACCCTCTGACGATAATGGTGGCACCAAAAGCACAAAAAGGGTTTGAACATTTCTTGGTGGCAAACAAAATCAAGTTTGACGTTCTAATTGACAACGTGGAGCGGTAACTTCTTCCACTTGGGTGAAAAAGAAACATAATATTGTGATTTTTAGTACAATCCAAGCTGAAAAAGAGTACCACCGTTCGAGGTCCACCTCAAAATCGGGAAGAATTGCTTTTGATCAATATTATCGCCATGATGAGGTAATTTCAACAATATTTTGGCACAATTTAATCACTTTACTTACATTTCTAATTTGTGCAGATTAACGCATATCTGGAACAACTAGCCGCAGATTACCCCGACATTGTCACTCTTGATACTCTTGGCCAGTCCTACGAAAAAAGAGACATGAAACTTATTCGCATTTCTTCGGGTTCTAGCGACCCCCCAAAACCTGTAATATTTGTTGATGCTGGTATACACGCTAGAGAGTGGATCGCCCCAGCTGTTGCTCTATACTTAATCAATCAACTGGTTGAAACCAAAGACAACAGCGGTCTTTACGAAGGCGTCAACTGGATCATCCTTCCAAGTCTCAACCCAGACGGGTACGAATACAGCTGGGATGAAGACCGTCTTTGGAGAAAAACCGTTTCTCCTGGAACTGAGTGTAACGGATGTGATGCTAATCGCAACTTTGGTTTCCACTGGATGGAGTCTGGGGCCAGTAGTTGGGAGTGTTCGGAGACCTACGCTGGAAAAGAAGCTTTTTCAGAGGTTGAAGCAAGAAACTTGAGGGACTACTTAAACAAAACGGAAAATATAGAGGCTTATTTGACTTTGCATAGTTATGGACAATATTTGCTGTATCCTTGGGGGTATGCGGATATTCTTTGCGACAACTGGAAAGAACTCGATGATTTGGCGCACGACATGGATGACGCGATTAGCGCTGTGAGTGGCACGAGGTACACCATTGGTAGTTCCACTGAAACGCTGTATGCTGCTGCTGGTGCTAGTGATGACTGGGCAATGGGTGGCGCTGGTATTACAATCGTGTACACAATGGAGCTTCCAGGAGGGGGAATCTACGGGTTTGATCTACCACCAGAGGAAATTGAAGGAGTCGTGGTGGAAAGTTTCGAAGGTTTGAAAGTTTTTGGTAATTATGTTGCAAAGAACAGAAAATAAATAAAGATGTAACACGTATCCATAAAAAATGCGAAGTTTTATTTAGCTTTTTGGGCTACATAATCCGCTATCACTTTAATTCCCTCCCAAGTTTCCGTAACAACGGGCAGAATTCTTTCGGGTGGTAGGTCAAAACCGTTTGGTCCACCACCTGGGAGTTCGAACGTTAGTACCATTTCAATTCCGGCCCCACCCATCGCCCAGTCGTCGCTGCACTCAGCAGCAGGGTAAAGAATTTCAATTGTGTTCTGATGACCTCTATAAAGTAAAAATCAGTGGCGTCAATAACGCTGCCACAGCTTATTTGACTTTTACGATGTCTCTTAACGTTTTCATTTTTAAATTTTCCAGTTTTCCGATTTTCCAACTTTTGGACGTTTAAATTTTTAGATTTTGAATTTCTTGAAAGAAAACTACGTATATAAATAAAAAAAAAAACAAAAATTAAGCGCCACCCACTCTCCCCAATCTCAATTCTGATGAATTTTCTATGATACTTTCTTGTAGAGAAATGAGAATTTTGCAACTAAATTTCGCCCTTCAACTCACGATGAATAAAACATTTGTCACAATTGAGAAAGGGTGGGTGGGTGGGGCTTATTTTTTGACCATTTTTACTTCCCGAGCGTAAGCAAAGGAAGTATTGTAATCGAGTCCGTCGGCCGACTCTCTACTTTTACGTTTTCTCGATCTTTCATGACCCCTAGAAGACGAAGAAATAGGTCTCCCATTTCCGTCTGTCTGTCCGTCTGTCCGTCTGTCCGTCCGTCTGTCCGTCCGTCTGTCCGTCCGTCTGTCCGTCTGTTGTCCCGGATTTTATTAGACAGATAATCTCCGAAAGTACTCGGCCGATTGTTGTGAAATTTTGTACTTATATTAAGAATATCATGTAGATGGTAAAACGCTAACCAAAATTTGTCTAATCATCCCCACCACTAATGCGATGACGTCACTTCAAAATTGTACATAGTAAATGGGTTTTCAATTGTATAAAATAACATAGTCCTACACATGTAGTTTACAACTCTGAATCGACTTTTCACCCGAAACGTCCAGATTTTTGGAAAAAAAATCAAAATTATAAAACAACATTTTGAAATTTAATTTTTAATCTGCTAACCAGAATGCTTTGAAATGTTGCAGATGTTTTAAGGCTATAAAGAGCATCATAAATCTTTAGTCAAAAAATATTTGCTTATCCCCTCCAAAAACTTGATGACGTCAGCTCAAAAGTTTGTGGAATAAATCATATCTAAAATGTACAAAATATGATGAGTGTGTACTTGTGATCTATCACTCCATTCATATTTTTTGGATTTGCATATACAGGGTGACTCAAAAAAATTAATGAATGCGTAAATATATTTTATTGATTTAATCAGGAACTACAAAACCGAATGCTCTGAAATCTTGCAGATGTTTTAAGGTCATAAAGAGCATAATAAATGTTTAGTCAAAATATATTTGCTTATCCCCTCCAAAAACTTGATGACGTCAGCTCAAAAGTTTGTGGAATAAATCATATCTAAAATGTACAAAATATGATGAGCCTGTACTTGTGATCTATCACTCCATTCATATTTTTTGGATTTGCATATACAGGGTGACTCAAAAAAATTAATGAATGCGTAAATATATTTTATTGATTTAATCAGGAACTACAAAACCGAATGCTTCGAAATCTTGAAGATATTTTAAAATTATCATAAGCATGGTAAATTTTTGATCAAAACGTATTTGGTCGTCCCCCCTAAAAAAATTTATGATGTCACCACAAAATTTTGCTGAAAAAATCCTATCTAAAATGTACAAAATATGGTGAGTCTCTTCTTGTGATTTATCATTCCATTCAAATTTTTTCGATTTGCATATACAGGGTGACTCAAAAAAATTAATGAATGCGTAAATTTATTTTATTGATTTAATCAGGAACTACAAAACCGAATGCTTTGAAATCTTGCAGATGTTTTAAGGTTATAAAGAGCATAATAAATTTTTAGTCAAAATATATTTGGTTATCTTCTACAAAAAACTGATGACGTCAGCTCAAAAGTTTGCCGAATAAATCGTATCTAAAATGTACAAAATATGATGAGTCTGTACTTGTGATTTAGCTGAATAAATCCTATCTAAAATGCAAAAAATATGATGAGTTTGTACTTGTGATTTATCATTCCATTCATATTTTTTAGATTTTCTTAAGAGGCGGTTCAAAAAAATTAATGAAGTCAATTTATTTTATTGATTAAATTAAAGGCAACACTTATTATTAGTATTACACCCCAACCAACCCAATTTGGTAGACACAAAATTTGTTAAAGGAAAAACTCGGTTGAAACATAAGGGTAGCACGCTTATTTACATCGACTTTAACATTACAGACCTGCATTTGTTTTATGCGTTCACTTGGTTCCGCGAATGTGAAATAGACATGTTTATAATCAACCAATTGTGAATTTCACCGACAAGAATTAAAATAAAACCCAATGTTTTATATAATAAGCGGAAGTCGAAGCAATAAAACCGATGGTCGTTTTGTTTACAGTTTCTCTGTTTGACTCTCACATATGCTGTTACGCCTGTCATCTTAAATTAAGAATGTTTATACATACACGATTTTCAGTTGCCTCTGATACGTAGGTATACGTGAGTAAATTGTTTCGTTATTTTATTGATTATTACAAATCAATATTCAAAACGACCCAATTCATTTTCCCGAAAATTTGAGAATATAATAATTTTATTCTTAGTATTACACTACATCTATCCCAACTGATATACGTGTCCTTGCAAAAATGTTGATGACGTCATCGCAATTTTTTTTTAAATTCCCACTACAAAAATGTAATGAGAAAAAAAACACAATAGGCATGCAGTCGTCAAGTTTCCGACAGCGAGGGAAGTACTGTCTAAACTCTTTAGACCAATTTTTTCTTAATATACGAAGTCTTCTTTTCCCAGCAAGAAACTGAAAACATGTTAAACTATCCTGTTGTTGAAAGAAAACTCTATATTTTAAAAAAAGCAAACAAAGATGAAGCCCCACCCACCCGCCCCAATCTCAATTGTGATGAATGCCATATTCATCGTGACTTGAAGGGCGGAGTTTAATTGCAAATTCCTCATTTCTATATAAGAAATTTCCATACAAAATTCATCACAACTGAGATTGAGGCGGGTGGGTGGGGCTTAATCTTTAGTGTTTTCTTTTAATGTATAGAGTTTTCTCTCACGAACAGGATAGTTAAACATGTGTTCAGTTTCTTGTTAGGGAAAGACGATTTCGTACGTTGAGAAAAAATGGACAAAATATAAGCCCCGCCCACCCACCCCTTCTCAATTGTGATGAATGTGAGCTGAAGGGCGGAGTTTAGTGGCAAAATCCTCATTTCTCTCCAAGAAATTACCATATGAAATTTATCAACAACTGACGTTGGGGCGGGTGGGTGGGGCTTAATCTTCAGTGTTTTTTTTTAATATATAGTCTTCTTTCAAGAACATGATAGTTAAATATGTTTTCAGTTTCTTGTTGGGAAAAAAGATTTCGTATATCAAGAAAAAGTAAACAAAATTTAAAAAAAATACAAATTTTCTCCAGCTACGAAATAATAAAAATCTAAAAACTGAAATATCAAAAAATTGAAACATTGAAAAATTCAAAATTCAAAAATCTCAAAATTGAGAAATCTAAAACTTGAAAAATCGAAAATTTGTAAAATTCAAAAACTGAAAAACGAAAAACAAAAAATCTGTAAATTGAAAAACTAAAATTTTGAGTAACAAAAAAGCAAGCATGGTAAAACCGTAAAAGTAAAGAAACGAAAAATGAAAATATTTAAAAATTTAAAAATTCCATATCAAAATTGCGAAGTCAAAATATTGAAAATTAAGAAACAAAAAAAAAATGGAAAAAATAGAAAATATAAAATTTCAACAATGAAAAATCGAAACATGAAGAAATTTAAAACTTGAAGATTGAAAATTAAAATTCAAAGTAAATAATAAATTGACATTCTGAAAAATGAAAAATTGAGGAATTGAAAAATCCAAAATCGGGACACCTGAAATTAAAAAAAAGGGAAAATTAAAATATTAAAACATTGAAGGAGTCGTGGTGGAAAGCTTCGAAGGTTTGAAAGTTTTTGGTAATTATGTTGCAAAGAACAGAAAATAAATAAAGATGTAACACGTATTCATAAAAAATGCGAAGTTTTATTTAGCTTTTTGGGCTACATAATCCGCTATCACTTTAATTCCCTCCCAAGTTTCCGTAACAACGGGCAGAATTCTTTCGGGTGGTAGGTCAAAGCCGTTTGGTCCACCACCTGGCAGTTCGAACGTTAGTACCATATCAATTCCGGCCCCACCCATCGCCCAGTCGTCGCTGCACCCAGCAGCAGGGTAAAGAATTTCAGTGGAACTTCCAATGGTGTATTCGGTACCATCGACAGCAGCGATGGCATCGTTCGCTTTGTGGGCAAGTTCGTCTAGTTCTTTCCAGTTGTCAGGTACAGCACCAACTTCGTAGCTGTATGGATAGAACAAGAGTTGGCCATAACTGTGCAGAGATATAAATCCGAGTACATTTTCAGTGGCGTTCAAAATATCCCTCAAATTACGAGCTTCTACTTCCGAAAAAGCAGATTTTCCGGCGTAGATTTCTTCGCATTCTTGGTCGCTAGCGCCATTTTCCATCCAGTGGAAACCAAAGTTGCGATTACCGTCGGTACCCCAACATTCTGATCCAGGAGATCGGGTTTTCCTCCACATTCGGTTCTGTAAACGTAAAATAAGGTACTAAGTATATTTTGAGACAGTTGAAAATAGTACCGTAGTCCACGTGTATTCGTACCCATCAGGGTTCATACTTGGAAGAATGATCCAATCCAGATCTGCAAGAAGAGCACGATTGCTTTCATTTTCTACCAGTTGATTGATGATGTAGAGGGCCAAAGCGGGCGAAATCCATTCTCTGGCGTGCATTCCAGCTTCGATGAAAAGTACCGGTTTTCGTCCATTACCATCAGAAATTTGGATGATGTTCATGGTACGATTTTCATAGGATTCTCCAATGGTACTAACGGTCGCTAAACGGGGATTATCGGCAGCTACTTGGGCTAAATAGGCAGTGATTTCTCCGTACCGTAGGTACTGATCGAAGGCGATTCGTCCGATTGGAAGTGATCTGGAGCGGTGATATTCTGATTCTAAATCAATGGTCCTGTAGATACAAGAAATTTAGCTTTGTGGTGACTACCTTAATTAGAAAACTTACTTTTGGACGTTTTGAATCTCCACACTGTAGTCAATTTCGTTGCGTAGAAGACTTTGCTCGAATTCACTTTGGACTGATGTAGAGGCCATAATTGTCACAGGTTTTCCAATTTTATTAACCTTGGACCAGAAATCAAACTCTGGATTGAGCTCCAGCTCCCTCAGGAAATCATTTTCGGCTTCTGTTTTGGCAGTGACCTTATACACTTTGTATCTGCAACAAATGATTTAAATGTTTGTGGGTGTACCTTATCTGATAAAGATTTACCCTTCGTAGGAACTACCAGCAGATACCCCCACAAGGACAAAAATAATTATCGATTTTAAAAACATCTTTTTCATTGAGGTTGCACTGTCTGACAGTCCTACTTTATATGTGTTATCTTTATCTTGATTTTTACTGTCGGTACGTATAATCAGATGTCTGAGATCTTATGTTACCGAAAAAGAATGTTGTCATCAAACTTTGTACTCAGACAGATAAATAATAATTCTAGGGAACTCTTGCGTGGTAACATATTTTGTCTTATCGTATTATAAAGTATGAAAGAAATTAAATATTTATCTCAATGTTGTGTCTTGCAGGTGTTATTCACGGTAAAATTTTCATTTTTATAAAAGTTCAAGTGGTTTGAATTAACATATTTTGGTCGTCAATGTCACTCTGTAATAATAATAAATATTTATTTTAATAGCTATTGAAATTTATATTATGATTTTTCAAGGCTGAAGGTTGTAAAATGGACTTTGCAAAACTTGGAGATGACGTCAAGGAGTTCTTGGAAGGGATGAACTCATAAATTCTAAATAACTTGGATTGAACGTACTAATTCATACTAACGAATACTCCGACAATCATTAAGAATACATAAAATTTATAAAATGTTTTGTTTTTAAAAAAACACAAACTTCATTTTATTTACCGAGCGTATACGAAGGAAGTATTGCAATAGACTCCATCGGACGAACGGCCAATTTGATGTTTCTCGACGTTTCATGAATTCGAGAGTACGAAAGAAGTGGTCCCCCGTTTTCGTCAAGATTGATATAAGTTCTTATCATGTATCATGGACAGCAAATTTATTCTGCTATGGCGTGTAGAATAGTGCCTTCTTTAACATCGAATTTACTAAGAAGTTCATCCCCATGGACCCTAAAGCGTCCGTTCCGTAGAAGTACATAATAAGGTGTTCTATTTACCTTCTAGGCAACTTTATTTAGAAGCTCGTCACCAGTTGTGGTGGACGTAAGACCAGTAATCGGAAAGATCTTGTTTTCACCTTTGTAGTTTATATATTGCACCTGCACGTCAAAACTGGTAGTTTCAACTAGAGAAAAAAATATACATTATATGGTATTTAAAACAGAATAATGTACTCACCTAGTATTATTACTCCAATAAGAGACCACAAAACGAACTTCATGTTGTCGCTGATAAATTCGGTAATTTAAGTTATTGGGCTTAGAAAGCTGAGTTTTTGTATGCCTTTTTTATCAAAAATGATTGCCACTTTGCGTAGTATTATCAAGGAACGTTTATCACACTATTATGATTGGTTTTATAACGTGAATTAATTGTGGGTATCGCTGTTATCAGAAAAATATATACAATTTTCTATACTGACACGTGTACACAGAAGGTAACAATTCAACCAAATATGAAATTTGTTTTCCAAAGGATTGCATTTGTACTGTTGGGCAAAATCCTTTGTAAATCCATCATTTTTGAAATTTTATTTTCATATTTTTCTGCAGGTTTTCTCTTTAAACAATATTTCTATGTCCGTTCAATTCTGACTGCAAATTAAAAATGTTACACCCTAGTCAAAATTTTTATTTCACGAGCTAAAGAAGTATTGATTTCGAACAAATGATTTGTCTATATTAAATTGCTTAGGGTTTTTCCGCTAGATTTTCAAATTTAAAACATCCAAAATTCTACGAAAAATTGCAAAACAGTAAAATTCAAAAAACAAAAAATTGAGAAATCAAAAAATTAAAAATCGGAACGGAAACCAGAAATTTGAAAAAATTGCAAATCGAAAAATTGCGAAATCGAATATTAAAAAATATAACAAAATAAATAAAAAAGGAAACAAAAAAACCCAAAAATTACAATATTTTAAATTAAACACTGCAAAATGGCTAAATTGAAAAGTCTGAACATTTTAAAAGGAAAATTTTAGATAAAAAGAATTGTAAAAAAATGTAAAAATTGAAATATCAAAAATCTGAAAAATCGAAACATTGCAAAACTGCAAAACTGAAAAATTTTAAATTTGAGAAATCTAAAACTTGAAAAACGAAAAATAAAAAATCTAAAAATTGAAATTTGATTTGAATAACAAAAATCAAACATTGTAAAACCGTAAAAGTAAATAAACGGAAAATGCAAATATTTAAAAATTGAAAAATTCTAAAGAGAAATCTAAAACTGGAAAAAAACCTGAAAATTAAAATTGAAAGTAATAAAAGCTCAAAAAATTGCAAAATCGTAAAGTTAAGAAAAATGCAAAAACCAAGAGATTGTAAAATTCAAAAGTTGAAAACGAAATATTGAAAAATTAGAACATTTATAAATTGAAATGTTGAAAAGTAAAAATTAGGGAATCGAAAAATCAACAATCTGGACACTGGAATTTTCAAAAAATTTATATATAATTTATATATAATATATATTTAAAAATCGAAAAATTTTAACAAAAGTACCCGAAATTTGTTAATGAACTGTGGTCATGTCCACGATAATTAAAATAAAAAAATTGGTCGAAAGTTATTTCAACTGAACTTCCCTCTCCCTTGAAGTTCAGCCAAATAAATTCCAATTTTCTGAAAAATCATAGTTTTTTCGATTTTTGTGTTCTGATGATCTCTATAAAGTAAAAATCAGTGGCGTCAATAACGCTGCCACGGCTTATTTGACTTTTACGATATCTCTTAACGTTTTCATTTTTAAATTTTCCAGTTTTCCGATTTTCCAACTTTGGACGTTTAAATTTTTAGATTTTGAATTTGTTGGAAGAAAACTACCTATATGAAGAAAAAAAAACAAAAATTAAGCGCCACCCACCCTCCCCAATCTCAATTCTGAGTGATTTTGCAACTAAATTCCGCCCTTCAACTCACGATGAATAAAACAATCGTTACAATTGAGAAAGGGTGGGTGGGCGGGGCTTATATTTTGACCATTTTTTATTAATATACGAAGTCTTCTTTTCCCAGCAAGAAACTGAAAACATGTTTAACTATCCTGTTGTTGAAAGAAAACTATATATTTTAAAAAAAGCAAACAAAGATGAAGCCCCACCCACCCGCCCCAATCTCTATTGTGATGAATGCCATATTCATCGTGACTTGAAGGGCGGAGTTTAATTGCAAATTCCTCATTTCTATATAAGAAATTACCATACAAAATTCATCACAACTGAGATTGAGGCGGGTGGGTGGGGCTTAATCTTTAGTGTTTTCTTTTAATGTATAGAGTTTTCTTTCACGAACAGGATAGTTAAACATGTGTTCAGTTTCTTGTTGGGGAAAGAGACTTCGTACATTGAGAAAAAGTGGACAAAATATAAGCCCCGCCCACCCACCCCTTCTCAATTGTGATGAATGTGAGCTGAAGGGCGGAGTTTAGTGACAAAATCCTCATTTCTCTCTAAGAAATTACCATATGAAATTTATCAACAATTGACGTTGGGGCGGGTGGGTGGGGCTTAATCTTCAGGGTTTTTTTTAATATATAGTCGTCTTTCAAGAACAGGATAGTTAAACATGTTTTCAGTTTCTTGTTGGGAAAAAAGATTTCGTATATTAAAAGAATGGACAAAGTAAAAGCCCCACCCACCAATCCCTTCTCAGTTGTGATGAATGTTTTATTCACCGTGAGCTGAAGGACGGAATTTAGTTGCAAAATCTTCATTCCTCTACAAGAAATTATCATATGAAATTCATCACAATTGAGACAGGGGTGGGTGGGCGGGGCTTAATCTTTGTTTTTTTTAATATATATAGTTTTCTTTCCAGAACAGGGTAGTTAAACATGTTTTCAGTTTCTTGTTGGAAAAAAAAAGATTTCATATATTAAGAAAAAATAAACAAAATATAAAAAAAATACAATTTTTTTTCCAGTTACGAAATAATAAAAATCTAGAAACTGAAATATCAAAAAATTGAAACATTGAAAAATTACAAAATTGAAAAATCTCAAAATTGAGAAATCTAAAACTTGAAAAATCGAAAATTTCTAAAATTCAAAAACTGAAAAACGAAAAACAAAAAATCTAAAAATTGAAAAACTAAAATTTTGAGTAACAAAAAAGCAAGCATGGTAAAACCGTAAAAAAAGTAAAGGAACGAAAAATGAAAATATTCAAAAATTGAGAAATTCCATATCAAAATTGCGAAGTCTAAATATTGAAAATTAAGAAACAAAGAAAAATGGAAAAAATAGAAAATATAAAATTTCAACAATGAAAAATCGAAAACTGAAGAAATCTAAAACTTGACAAATAAAAAGATTGAATATTAAAATTCAAAGTAAATAATAAAGTGAAATGCTGAACAATGAAAAATTGAGGAATCGAAAAATCCAAAATCGGGACACCTGAAATAAAAAAAAAATGGAAAATTGAAATATTAAAAAATCGAAAAATTTTAAAAAGGAAATATCCCAATTAAGAAAATAAAAATTTAAAAATTGAAATATCAAAAAATTGGAAAACGGAAACATTGCAAAATCTCAAAATTAAGAAATCTAAAACTTGAAAAATTAAAAATTTGAGTAACAAAAAAGCAAATATTGTAAAACCGTAAAAGTAAAGAAATGAGAAATGAAAATATTTAAAAATTGAAAAATTCCTTATCAAAATTGCAAAATCTAGATATTGAAAATTAAGAAATAAAAAAATGGAAAAAAATCAACATTGAAAAATCGAAAAATGGAGAAATCTAAAACTGGTAAAAAATGAAAATTAAAATTTAAAGTACTTAATAAAAACTCGAAAAATTGTAAAATCGTAAAAGTTAAGAAAAATGCAAAAACCAAGAGATTACAAAATTCAAATGTTGAAAATGAAATATTAAAGAATCGAAAAATTGAAAAATTATAATATTCATAATTTGAAATGCTGAAAAACAAAAAATTGAGGAATCGAAAAATGAAAAATCGGGACACTGAAATTTTCAAAAAAAAGGAAAAATTAAAATATTAAAAAATCGAAAAATTTTAAAAAGGAAATATCCCAATTAAGAAAATAAAAATTTAAAAATTGAAATATCAAAAAATTGGAAAACGGAAACATTGCAAAATCTCAAAATTAAGAAATCTAAAACTTGAAAAATTA